ATTATTAAAGTAGAAATAAAATATCTAAACCCTCCTTCATTAATCATGAATAACCATAGCCAACATACATGTAGAAAGTAATGGTAGAGTCCGCAGTATTAGCTGCAGTAATGGAACAATTACACACTATAATACCACAACCATAGTAAAGAAAGGTGTGTATTTCATTTTAAGTGAAATGAGAATGTCTTGATGAATGTTTGTTAGAAGCTATCTAGGAATGGGATAATAGTAAATAAAATTTGACACATAGTACAGAGTCTGAAAGAATACCTCGGCTAATTTATTTTATTTCCGAGTGAGTGTTGCTGCCAGCACTAGCTAATTCATGAATAATTTAGTAAATAAGACTTAAGAAATATTAAAAAAAAATAACAAAACTTGTAGTTAAAACAATATTTTTTTCTGTTCCTAAATTTTTTTAACAAAGATAAGTGTACTAGATGTGTCATTAGTAATGGAACAAAAAAGGTCTGTAAACATCATTATGTTTTTCTCAGACTGTTGGCAATTATGCTATTTTATATATATTTTTTGGGATTACCTTCAAGTGACTTTACATTTGAATGTCAATTCAAGTTCACCTTTTATTGGTCATTTGCAGTTGCATCACAGTCAAGGATGTATATTTCTTACCCAATGAAATGTCATATAGGTTGAAAATTTGTCCTACGTAAGTGCTAAATTATAGCTCTTGGCCCTGTTGGTGGTATGTTATTTCATCTTAAGAGGGTACCGAATTAAATTCTTTTACTAAAAAATCATGTACATATTTTACTTAAGCTAGATAATGACAATATAAGTACAAAGTCTGCTGTGATAATAAGCTGTGGTTGACTCATCCAGTAGTGATTCATTGATCTTTGTTATTTTTGTTCCATAACTTTATTAGTGCAGAAGTAGTATTAATTGAGGGCTGGGGATGCTTATAGGATGCATACTTCTAATTTAGGATTAAAAAAAAATAAAAGAACTAAAACCATCTTACTTCTTACTAATATTATAAATGT